CCTACTGGCAGTTCAGAGAACTAAAAAGTCCATCACTGTGTTAGTCTAACAATTTAAAAGTCAATTCTACCAAAGTGCTAGGGTCCAAATAACAATTGGGCACTGTAAGCGATAATAAATAATAATAATCCCTAGCCATGTTGGGAATCAAAGGTGAAAGAAAAGCTAGTAGATCAAGCCTTAATATAAAATTATAGTAATTTTCTCATCATAGGTGTTTTTCACATAAAATTTGTTTAAAATTACTACATTCAACATCATCTTGAATACTAACTTTTTGGGGCACAGCTTGTTGTATTATTATTTTGGCTTGGGGGCCATACCAAAATACAGACAGTGCTCAAGACTCTTGGCTCTGCACTCAGCCATCACTTCTGGCAGGGCTTGGGGGACTGTGTGATGCTACGGTTCAAACTCAGGTTGGCTAAGGTAAGGTAAGTGCTGTAACCTTTATACAATCTCTCTGGTCCCTCCAAAACCCAGGCCTCAGAGTTGCAGTCCATTCTCGGCAGAATCAATCTAAACTTGAGCAACCAGAATGCCCACGTGCTTCGCTCTATCCCTAGCCCAGTAAGTCACCTCCTTGCACTGTCTATAAAAGAGACAATGATAACAACCAGGATTACTATGAGGACTGCAATAATGTGTACAATAACTTGGGTCACTGGGGCCACAGCAACAGTACAATGGTTGCTCTACATGAGGCTGACCGGGGTTCGATTTTCAGCATCACATGCAGTTCACCAAGCCCTGCCAAAAGTGATCCCTGAGCAGAGCCAGTTGTAAGCCCTAAGCACCTCTGGGTGTTCCCCCCCCACCACCACCAAAAAAAAAAAAAAAAAAAGAACTATATATACAACTCCAAATAAAGTTTTTATAATAAGTTTTTATAAAGTTGTAAGGTGTACAGGAAATGTAATGACTGATGATAGAAACTGAAGCAGTTTGTGGAGACATGTAAAACTTAAGTCACCCCCATGTCTACCTAACTTTATTTAAATAAGCGAATAGGTATACAATTACAGCCCAAGTAATTGTTTTCCCAGCTCTTATAATTAATCTTCTTTTGTAAATTCTGATGGCTTTCAGATTCTCTCTTCAGTTCCTTAAAACATTTGATTCACCAAAAAGAAAACCTAATTTAGGAAGGAACTGTCTGCCTTAGTCTAGAAAAAGCAAAAAAGGAAAAAAAAGAAAAGAAAAGAAAGGTACAGCTCCAACGACCTAGGTGAGTGCCCACAAATAGAATCATGGCACTTGAAAAGTGTTTTTGAAAAAGCTGAGGACACAAACCTTTTGACTCAACTAAGGGGCAACTTTTTAGGCAGAAGGAAGGTGAGAAGCCTCCAGTTCTTGAGGTAATGATTGTTTTCAGGCTGGTTAGAATTCAGTGCTAATTGCATTTTGAAACACCACCTCTAAAATCCTTTCCTCTCTCAGGATCTTACAGCAATGTTTTGCATTTTCAGTAAAACCTTTACACTTCACCTTTCTCACTCAACAAATCCTGAACTTAAGGTCTGTGGGAAGAATTCCACTAGGATCCTTTCTTCCCTCAGTAGGTTTTGATCTACTGGTGGTAAAATGAAAGCCCAGGAAAGGCCTATGCAGTCCTGCTTTTTTCTGAGGGGAGAAATAAGTCTATTCAAAGAGGCCTATTTTTGTGGCTCAACTCAAGCTTGTCCAATCTAGGAGTGCATCATTAAATAACTTCCTCGTGTCATTCAAAGAACTTATAACAGAATCAATTGATTTTCATCCTATGCTTTATTAGTTGTGATTTAGGAGATAGAATGGCCCTGTTTACACAGCTGGAACATGTCAGGACCTGTAGTACATTATTGGCTTGAGGCCTCAGAGTTGCAGTCCATTCTCGGCAGAATCAATCTAAACTTGAAAACATTCCCTCTAGGAAACATGCACATATCTCCTAGCATAAAGCACTTCTTGTACAACTGGAAGGAGTATTCACTTGAGGTAAGTTACAAGTCCACCTTCCCCCATCAGCCCTGACTTGTCATTGCTCTAGTGCATTCACTTTGGGAGCAGAGGCTTCAAACACCTCTTAACTTGATACTCAACATGGGCTGGCGTGTTGCACTTTGCTGCTAGTTAGATCTCAGACTCTGCAAGTGGGAGTTGCTGGCTGCTTAACATGCATTCAGAGCATTGCCAATCTAAAATGGCTGCTCAGTAATACTTTAATTGCAGTTTCATGGAAACAAATTGCTCTTTAACTGTAATAAGCATTTTTGTGACTTGGCTGGACTGAGAATAGGTGAGTCGTAGTAACAAAGCGACAAGTATTACCAATTGTGAAATGGTCTGTTTTCCAAAGGCTTCTCAAACTGCGGTAGGTGCACAAATATCCAGGGTAGAATTCCTGGATGAAAATCTTTGGAAAACCTCTGGGTTCAAATACAATTATGCAGGCTACATAAAACTCTTCACAGGTCTCTTGAAAATGAGCTCTTAGAATCACGGTTTGTTATAAAATTTATTGGCCCTAAGAAATATTTCACACAATAGTAGTATGCATTAGAATCTTACTATATTGATATTTAAAGCCATTTAAGAGCTTCATTTTAGATGATTAGTTGTTTCAAATATCAGTGCTAATAAGGGCAGGGGAATCTAAATATGCTTACTAGTAAGATGATGATGACAATTTCAAAGGCTTCATTTTGGTGTGACAATTTTTTCATTTTGTATTTTATAAGACATCCATTCTACGTTAAACTAGTCCCTAATAAATCATGAAGAGCTGGAAATAAGTTTCTTGTGGCAAACGATTGGGTTTGGAAAGGCTTCATTCTGGCCCTCCTGCCTTCTGGGATGTGTAAATCCAAACAGACACAAAGGTAAAAAACAAAAAACAGTAAAACATTACACCCTTTCAGAGGGCAGTTCTTTTTATGAAATTGTTTCATTAGCAAGAGTGACAATTTGCAGGATCGAGACATTTTTATGTCATTTTTTTTTAAACAAGGGGTTCAACAAGGCTTAGAAACGTTTGCTTTTATTTTTAATTGCACTTGCTTGCTTGCACGGACAGGCAGGGACCATCTTGCTCTGTGACATGGTTAATATTAAATAAGTCCTTTCAGAAAAGACTATATCTCACTAACATCACAGATCCAACAGATAAAAGGTGAACAAGCTGCACATTTTTTTGTTCTAACCATCGTTGGGATTGGGGGTGGAACACAATCACAGTTCACATCAGAATAAACCTGAGTGTTTTAGTAGCTTTCTATCCACACAGACAAGCATTCCCATTAGTGCTAGGTTTTATTGTTTGAAATGCCTCTGGTTTCAAGAAAGTGTTTTACCTAAAGCAAGACTACTACTTAAATATGTTCTATTGTATATTCATAGCTCCATTAGTCCTTCTCCAATTTAGCACATCAAAGAGAAGACTTCATCACTTGCATGTGGATTATACTAACATGAGTGACATTTGTAATCTTATAGGTCTGCAACTTAAGAAATGCTTTTAGAAGCTCGTTATTAAATACACAGCAGTGCTTGAGGAACCAGCTATATAATAGTTCATTTAAAGTCTTTAATGACCTTAGCCTCCCACATCACTAAATGCCACACCGTATTACTTACAAAAGTTGTTAACTATCTCCTTTGAATTTTTATAATATGTAGAACATTAATGCTTATTTCCAAGAGAATATAGATTACTGCATTCTTATTAACACAGTTCCCCTTTTTAATCCGCAATCATCCAAGTTCTATGAATGTCACTTTTAAAGGAAAAAAAGAATTTGGAACCAGATCCTAGAAATTGTCCCCGAGGATTTAACTCAGATTATTATTTATGTGCTTTTGTTTAATTATTGCTCCTCCCTGGAGTTCACTCTTTAGAAAGCTCTAAACAAACTCTATGTGCGTTAACTTGGCCTTTAAATTCTCTCTCCTGTGGGAGGAGTGGTTGAAGCAACCGCATTGTCCCTCCTGGTCACCAAGAAAACCCCTAAAAAGACGCTGACTGCTGGCTGAGACATGCCAAGCTAGGACTCCTCTATATCTTACTCCTATTCTGGGAGAGAATCTCTTTTGGGAGCTTTTCTAGAGCAGGGGGGGAGGGGAGGGAAATGCCATTTTAAAAATAAAATTAGAAGATAGCATTAGAAACACTTCTGGTCCTATTAACCTGTGACAGAAGCAGTGGTTGCAATTCGCTCGCATATAATGAGCCTGACAGAGCAGGATATTTGGTTTTCCTTCCTTCTAGCTCAAGCCCTGAGCCCAGAGTCCTTGACCTACACATTTCCACAGGCAAGTGCAGGCACTTGCTGCTAGGGCAATTCTGCCGCTAGATCCAGCAGCGCAATCTTTCAACTCTATGAAATTCAAATCTTCCCCCAAGCATATGGAAAGGCCGTGAGAAGAAGAGTCTAAGAACAAAACAAAATAAACAAATCATACAGCAGACCACAGGAGTTTCAAATCCCACCAGGAAATGGCTGTGTCACCCACGGACGGTGCCTGTAAAAGGGCTCAGGGTCCTCCAACTAATGGAACTTCAAAATATGTACAGGTGTGGCTTAGAGATGCCATTTCCTTCCAACGCTATAAACTTGGTAACAGAACACGATGGTTATGCCACATTCTTGAACATGCTTTTCATCAGTACTCAAGGCTTTCCTATTGAGATAAAAGAATAAACGAAATAGCTGAAGACTCAAACAAATATTTATATATAAACACCAAAAAAATTCTCTGTGATATAGGAGAAACGGAATGAAGTACTGTTAACAGAATATTCTGAACTTATAAAAAGGACTCTGTTAGAAACATTGCTTTGTAACTCTGCCAAAAATGACAGGGTTAAGTAATTAGAATACCTTATTGGCCGAATGCTAACTAAATATACATACCACACACCTCCCTCAACCTCTGCAAGTTTAAAATGAGGTCCGGATGGAACAGAACTTAAGTTTTTTTAAACTACAGAAGAGAAAAAGCAGTTTAACCCAAACTCCATCGATTATTTTTCTTTTAAGTTTTTATTATTTAAATACACCATACTAGAGCAAATGTCTCTGAAAATATCACAAATAAAAGATTTTTTTTTCTTCATTCAGCAAATTAGAAGTAGGGGGAAATTTCTACACAGCAGCTGCTATGAGCCTTTTTTTCCAAATTTTTTTCTTTTTTTTTTTTCATTCTTTTTTTTCTTTGCCATGGAAGTAGCAACATTAGGACAAAAACACATACATGCATACATACATTGTATTTTACAGAGATACAATAAAAGTGTTTGTGATAGAGCATCACAAAAGCCACATTTCTTTCCTTTATCTCATGTTTGGGTTTGATTGAAACACATTTCCTTACAACACTTAAATATACAAAGAGCAAAGAGAATGTTGTTAAGGTAAAACACAGGGTACAAAGTCTGGCCAGTGCCCTGCTAATTGTTAATGAGGGTAGAAAGCAGATTTGAATGCTTCTTTTAATTAGCTTCATTAGTCATTTCCCTCCTCCCAATCTCCCTCCCCCCCAAAGATGTCCTCCGGTGGATCTTTTTTCATTTTCTCTACAGTCTCCCATTAGCCCAGGTTCATGGAGTCCTTAATGTTCATATTCAGTCATTTTAATACACCAATAAATGCGGGAAGGGCAATCAAGACTAAAGAAGGTGCAATGGCATGGAGCTGGCACTGGTGCTAGCTACAAAGGTGACTTGTCTACTGAAGACACATGGGATCCACCTGTGATGAACAAAATCTGAGATGAAGGCACGCATTCTGCATTACTCTGACCTTTTAGCAGACCTGCAAGAAATAAAAATGGGCATCTTAGCTAGAATGCTAAATTTGAGAGATATTAAACTCAAACATGACTGCTTTTGTCTTCTCTACATTCACTAATCTTCTTTTATTAGAATACTTTCCAACTGTGACTTGATGGAAGACTTCTACACTACTTACCAGCAGAGAAGAACTAAAGCAGTTTTTGCAGTTAAATTGAGACAATAAATGAACTTTCAGAAAGTTTCTGGTGTCAAGATCTATAACAAAGTGCTGAACTCAGTTAAACGCAGGTTTCTTTTTGAAAAGGATTTATTCTAACATCTTGACTCTCAGAGGCATTTCAAAGTCACAGTCAGAATTAAGTCCCCTACATCTCACCCCCAACCCCCACCCAACAGTTTTTTGGATTGATGAATTTAACCCTTGGCAAGTGACTTGTTTGTATGTCATTTCCTCATCTTTAAAGTGGAGGTAACAAGGCTATAATAAGGATTACATAATATATATGAAGTCTTTGCAACGGTATCTGGCACTTAATAAAAGCTAAGCAATATTGGCGTTATCATTATTACTCTGAAAACAGGTGACATGTACTCTTCCTTGTCCTTCCTCTTTTAGGTATGTGTTTTCATGCGTGTGTACATACACAAATGTGCAAGTACTCAGATACTACTTTTCACTTGTTACTTTCTGCTTTTAAGATGACATAAACATTGTAAATATGTGGATCAAACATACGCGATGTGTTAATGACTTGTGATCAATTAAGAAACATAGTTCAATGAATGTCTAAGTTAGAAATGATAATCCATACAGTCGTCAAATACAATCTGTTTGCCATTACCAAAATGAAATAATATATATATTAGATTTTTATGGTTTTTAAATGACATTTTGAGCTTCCCAGGAAGTTCTCCGCTCACCCTTTCCCTAACTTACTAAAAGCCTGAAGTCTATTAGGAACTGCAAACCCCCCACTTCCAAGCTAATTAAAGTGGTGGAGGCTTAATTCCCCAGAGTGGAAGCACAGTGTGAGAAAGGTAATTTGTCTGTCCAGAACAAAGATGCAGCAGCAGCCAGCAAGCATATTTAATAAATGAGCATCGAATGTCCTCTGCGATGGACACACACACACCCACACACACACACCCCAATTATACAACTATATGGGCGTTGTGGCGTGGTATGTAAACCGGAACATACACACAGTGCTCCTTGCCAACTAAGAGGACCCGATCTCTTATTCTGCTAAAAAGTACGGAATTTAATAGAACCATCCCTCTCAGGTGGAGAAAAAGAATCCCAGAGAAAAAAAATTAACACATACAAAAAAGTAGCCACACTTTCCAATTGTATTTACTTAATTCTCTAGAAGACTGCAATCTCCTGCAGCTAGTCAAACCTCCTTTAAATTATACAGAACATAAAACTTTGTATGATCTTAAAATTCAGGGGTCTCAAGTTGTTAGTCAAGAGACATGTAAAAGCTTAAAATTATTATCGGTTTTTAGAATATATTCAAGAAAATGATATAGAACAACTAAGCTACATATCCCAGACTCTGAGAACAAATTTCAGGAGAACAGAAGTTTCCAGGACCTACATTTTCAATACAATTAGCTAACTTTAAAGAAGAGATGTACAAACAATTTACTCATTACTTTAAACCGGAGAATGCACGGATGTATTAACTATTCATCATACACTAAAAATGTAATTGGTTCTGTGAATAGAAAGAAAACGGCCAAAATTAATGTCTAATTTTCTGTACCAAAAATATGGAGAACAAGAGAGAAGAAAATAATAAAACAGAGCTATCTATCATTTCTCCCCATCTCATTGCCACCAGAAAAAAAAAATGCCACAGGGTTTTGGGAAAATAATTTTAAAGCATTCTCCAGGTCCAAAAACCAGTTTATGTTGTACCAGGAAGTGGGTTTTCATTACTTTATTCCCCTTGCCCTATCATTAATATCTCACTGGACTACCTTCAACTTGCCCAAAACCTCTATTTACAAAAACTACCATGAGAATTGACTGTTCAGGGCGAGCTAAGCACCAAGGGCAAAAAATGTGAGACATTTATACCAACAGGGAAATGTTTTTAATTAACATCACCCCCAAACACAGCTTCTCACTAGTGTCTGACAAGAACATATCCTTAAGTCTTATTTCCTTCTGCCTTTTAAGAGCTATTAATTTTTGAAGGCCACCTGTCTCTTTTCGGCTTCCAACATTGAGAAAACATATTCTACTCAGTTCTTATTCACTGCCTAACATACTCTGTGCCCCCAAATGAACACTCTACGTTTTCCATCTGGAAAAAAAAATGTGGGGGACAGAAAACATGAAAGGTGCAACACGCAATCTCATGAACACACAGACCAGACTGCTCTCTAATCTTCCTCTTTCACACCTCTAAAATTTACTTCATTTCGTACTAAGGTGGTACTGAGAGCTGGCTCATATTTCTACATGTCCTTTGCACTCAGTACCTAAGACTTCTATTGCCTGCATTCAGTGCCTCACACATGAGGTATATTTTCCTTTTTAGTCTCTATTACCTATGAGTCAAGCCTCACCGTGTATGGTGGTAAACTGCAACAACTGCTTTTTAAGTATTACTAAGTCAGGTAAACAAGCGGTAAGAAAAACAAAATGAAAGAGCAACAAACATAAAGTGCTGATATGGGGAAAAACAAAGCCTTTATATTAAAGGCAGAGAAGAGATAAAAGGCCATTTGTTCTTAGCATATTCACAAGGTGGGGCGGGGAGAGGGTGGGGACAGCACCAAGTATAACTACCATCGGTTTTGCTTCTAAATTGAAATGATTATCTCAAAACATTTTTTTGCTAGCCATTGGTTGTTTTTTCAACCCTGTCCTTACCAAGTGACTTTATTAAAATTCAAACCATAAAATTCTCTAAGTATTTATATGTATTGGCATTCCTTAAAGAAGCTTGAAATGCCTCATCAAAAGCGACTAGTTAGTGTGCAATAAAATATTCAACTTCTCTTCTTAAAAGGAATTCTATGCAGCTTCCCATATTAGCAAATTAAATAAAAGTGTGCACATTTTGATTTAATTAACATTTGCCCAATTAACAAATAGAAACCAGATTTAGAAGTATCCCATACACTAGAATAAAGAAAAATGACAAATACAAGCATTAAACTATAGCAGTATAATCTGAAGTGGCTAAAAGTTTTCAAATATTAGTCATTTTCCCCACATAGCATAAAGAAAATACATTACAGAAGACAAAGAAGCCTAATATTTTTCCCGGAGTCTTTTGAAGCTTGCTAAATTCCTATTTGCAGATAAATGTTGTTTTTTTGTGATCCTTACAACAGACATTAATGAAGTTCCTATTGTAAATCTATAAAGAATTACCAAGTGAAGTGTGCACTTTTTGTTTCAATGCAATAACTCAGTGCTGTGTGATTGCCTGGGTTAATGATGAAAAAGTCAAACATACTATCAGAGCTGATGGAAAAATCTATCACCAATCTGAAATTAAAATTCATCTGTGGTCAATAAGATTTAATATCCATGCAAGTGGCGCTGTAAAGAGTAAATGAATCAATGTCATCAATACATAATCAGTATGAAATATGATGTGAATAAAATTATGCACACGAGTCATACATTTCACTCTTTTCTGGGCCAGTGTGGAATGAACAGTCTCTTAACTGAAGGTTGACAGTAATTGTTACAAATTAGGCACAGCAGTTATCAAAATGCACTCACTTGCATAGCTATAGGACTTATTAAGGAGATTAAAATAGATCTAAAACTATCCAGTAGTGGGGATGCTGGACAACTGTTGATCACCAATTTTTCCTCTGAAATGCCTCCTAATACTACATGATATGTGCACTTGTATAATTTCCTCATTTCTAACTTTGACTCAAGAAATTTCCAGTTGCGGATCAAGAATAGATACATAATCCGTAATGGAGCTATTAGTAGCACAAAGCAATTAGCAAAAGCTAGAACTTTGTTTTAAAAGTTGTAATGATATCTGGGATTACAGAATGTTTTATAAAATTGCTGTTCTAAAAATAAAAACACCGTAAATTGGGTTTTGGAAGGCAGGAGTGCATATAGTTATCATGAATGCAAAAAATCATTCTTTTACGACAAAGGCATTTATTTCCATTTCCTATCATTAGTGTTCTAAGTTCCCTCCTACAATAATGTGTCTCTAACCTGCATTTCCGAAT